TTTGGAAGAAATTTGAATGTAGTGAAGGGAAAGCTAATCAAATGTGTTTCCATTGACATAATCAGATATAAACCCTATTGTTATACCTCTCGACTCAAATACGTTTTCCAATTGGAGGAAAACATGTTACATGAGTCAAAACTCACTCCCTAGGGCGAACAGTGATGTCTATGTCTAACTCCCTAGGGAAGCAACAACTTGAACTTCCGACTCACACCTTGAAACCACAGCAAATCTGTGTGGCAGTCGGTCTGAGGTCAAATGCATGTTAACAGGAAAGCCAGGCAACATATCTCACTAGGGACGGCATTCATTATTCAAGAAAAGGGATTTATAATTGCAAAAAACATCAGATTAACAAAAGGGAAAATTTGAATGTTTTGTGTCTCCAAGCTTTTTATTTGGCACCAAATATGGGTCACTCGTTCTTCAATCTCTGCCGCCACATAGGAAGATAGTTGTGTTATTTGCAACAAAATATGCAGTTCCTTGTCGTATCAGACCAGATTTCTCGAGTTAAGCATTAGAAGAACCCAAAGCAACTTTAGTATTGTCTTTATTTTTGGTAGCTGCGAAGAAGGATTATTTCATCATTTCGATAGGACAGCTCGGTTTTGACTGCTTGTACTGCATATGCAAGGGCATCAAGCAAATAATTTATTTGCAGTTTTTGTCTATTTTTGAAAAATGTTCTAATATGTTTTTCCTTTCTCTATTTACTGTTTGCGTAAGTCTTTCACCATTCTATGTGAAACCTGAACAATTTAAAAGTCAAAAAATGGCCAAAATGAACGACTGAACACCTAAGCAGACACTGACCACTAGTAGGTTAAATGACACTCTTCTCAAAATCTACCCATATGACCCCACCTCAAAATGTCAGGAATTAGAAAATGGCTCTGATTAATCATTCGTGCAAATTAAAACAAAAAGATCTGTAAGACAGATTTTCCACAAACTAAGAAAATATGAAATATGACCATTTCACAAATAGCTCAAAATCTGTCTCACCTTTTTTTCAATTTTGGCTCTAAATGCAATTCACGTCTACAAATCAACTGTAGGTTTTCAAGCAATCTTCAATCAAGACTGGCTTTTACAACCTTGGACGGGAATTGAATTGCACATGCCATGTACCGTGTGTGAGAAAGCAAGAGTGAATTGGAACTCTTTTACCTGTTATTTATCGACCTTTTTTTGTTATAGTTTTTCGGTCCCATGTTTGAAAGCAGTTTGGGACTATCATTAAATACACCAAAGTGATTCAATGCGTTTCGAGTGTTGAAGTTTTTTGTCGTTTTTTCTTAGCACTACTTGCATCATTTTTGCATGCGTGACTAATACTGACCTCTGGCAGGCAAATGTAGCGCGTGCTACTGAATCTCATAAAAACTGTTACAAGCCACCTTAAGTGCTTCATGAAAAGTCTACAGTCTTATTATTCAGAATAGCTTACTGAATATGAGGGAAAGGCTACTTGTCTGTGTTTAATTCTAACATTTCATTCAAAC